GGGCTCAGCGGCCAATGGGCATCTGTGGCTCTGGCTGGCCTCATGAGGCAACAGTGTTCGCACACCCATCTCCCCAGAGCTGTAGCAGCCCTGGGAATAGCGGTGTGGGCTGGGGAGCTTCCCTGTACCTTGCCAGCGTAATGCTGGATTCTGAAGCAGCTGTGAGGCAGGGTGGTGTCGTTGAGGAATCGGGAACACTTGCTCATCCTGCTCTCGAAGTGCTGGTGGGTGGCACAGACTTGGTTCAGCTTTTCCAGGAAGGTGTCATCTGTGACAGTGCCAGGCCTCAGGCACTCTTCATCCAGCATGGCCAAGATTCCATTCGTGTTCTGAGAGGAAAGAAATGAAGGTGTTTCCTTCCTTCCTTGCTGCTCTGTTCAAGTAATTAGCCCTAATGACAGCATCTAACACAATCAACTTAGCCATATGCAAAATTCTCTTCAGCTGTTACAGAAGAAAACAGACAATCACAGAATCACAGGGCCACGGAAGCCAGCTCCTTTCCAGCATCGCCCAGGTGTGGCAGGGGTGGACAAAGGAGTTTGTCTTTGCGTCTCCTTCCCCAAGACAGGAAGGAGCACGAGTAATCTCACCCTCCGTACGAACGAAGTTCGCAGGAGAATGTGTGGGGGCCTCAAATCTAAAGTCAGAAACCAACATGGCAGAATGGTATCCACAACATGCTACAAATCCCACTACTGTCTCCTACGGCTTCAATCTGGTTCACAGCTTAGGAAATAAATCAGTCTCATGTTACCAAACTGTTCATGGACTCAGGGTAAAGCTGGATCTCTCGGGGGAGGGGATGGGACTGTGTTTCAGGATGCTGTTCTGAAATGATCCTGCAATCAAGTGCTTTTCAAACCATGTTTAGAATAAATATCTTGTTCCATATACAATTTCTAAATGGGTATTAATTATGAATGCAGTTTTACTTGTGTGATCAGGCTCTGTGATCATGTTCATGTCAAGATGAGCCAGTCCTAAACTGAGCCAGAAACCAGGAATCTTCAACTTTGCTAAGAAAGACTGTGCTCTTCCTCAGACTGTACCCAAGGCTCCTGAGTTACAATTCCAGAAACAATCCAAGTCACTGACCCTTAACCCCACCCACTTCCAGCAAGGCAAAGGCCCTGTCCTCACAAGGCTATGATATCCTCTGACCAGCGTTTATTCATTCCACACAAAACCCAAGGGAAGAGTGGCTTGCAAGTGTGTTCACAACATCCCCAGAATAGACATTGTTGTTCAGTGATGGTGGAAGGAAACACTTCCTTTGAGCCACGGGCTCTTCCATGAACACGAGTTTCTTCAATCACAGATAGGTCTTTGTGTGAGATAGGCCAGTGTATTTTAGTGCATGACATTTTCCTCTTTTAAGAGAAATAATTAAGTGCCTGCTGTTTAGGAGAAAAACACTCATCAGTAAAGTTAAACTTGCCACAGCGGAGTCCCAAGGTAACAAAACTTACTAGGAACAGTTTTCAGGAAATCTAAGATTTCTGGATTTGAGGCAAGAACTCTCAATTCTTTATGTAGAACGTCAGTGTTCCCTCCTAAAACTGGGCAGAGCTTTCAAAACTGAGCTTATTTTTGATCAGGAAGGAGTGGTGCTTTGAAATATTGTTTTCTATGTTCAACTATGTCATAGATGAAGTTTTCAAGAGTATCTTGCATATTGGTGGGCAAACACTGGCTAATCACAGGATTTCCACAAGGGCTTACTTGAAACAAGTAGAAAACTGTTTGCTGAACACTCAGATGGTATTCTGGAAAAACAGCACATGTCCCGGACAGGTAAAAAGTTGGCAGGAGACGTAAGTTTACACATTGTCTCAAATTACTACATCAAGGTCAGAAGTACTAGCCACCCTAAGGTAAACAAAGGTGTTTCCTGTTTCCACACACAAAAGCAGTTTCCTACAACTACTTACTACAATGAACTATACAATACTGCCTATAGAACAAAAACCTTAGAATCATACAGCTTTCTAAAAACTGTCCAGCAATTTCTCCCACTTTAATCCTTTTCAGTCGTATAAACTTGAGTCTTCTGAAAAATCCCAGGGTTCTTGGCCACCAGCCATCAGCACACAAACAAATGCTGGTAAATGCAAGCCCCTATCACCTGAAGGTGTAAAAGGGCTGCGACAGAACAGGCCTAGGGATCCTGGCTAAGTACGGTGACAAAAGCTGTCCATGCATACACTCAAGAGTCAAGCATTAGTACTTAGGATCATCATGATGTCTTCACAGCAAAGTAGCTCCCGGTCCACAAAGGAAAGTGTAAAACACAGTGAGATCGTTTGTACCATGGTGAATTAAACTGCTAAAAATTCCCTTAATGCGGAAGTACTCACGTTTTCTATTAGCTCACAAATGACAGCATTGTTGAAGTAATCAATGTGAGTCCATTCTATGTCCTAAAAACAAAGCAAACCAAATGCACGTGACAATGCAGAACTGCCATCTGAACACAGACTGCCACACCACTCACCCACATTTCACTTTCTCTCTGAATTTCTCTCTTTATAGAACCAGAGCTGTGAGCATCATCTCCCAGTTCCCAGAACTTTCTCGACACAGCAGCCCGCCATTGACAAACCCACAGAAGCAATCGCCCTTGACCTGCTCCAAGACCGCTTCCCATTCCACGCTCCCATCTGTGGCTGTTTCCCATGCACTCCATGGGCTCTAAGCCAAATATTTACTCAACAGGCCCTTGGGTCAATATTGCTCTGTGTATATTTATGATGTTTATAAGGAAATTAGGCAGAACTTGATCCCAGCAACCTAAGGCCTAGAGTTTTTATTTGTCATCACAAGGAGAAAAAATAATTTTAGAATCAGAGCTGAGTTCTAAGTCAGTTAACTATTTCAAGTGCAAAATCAGTTCAGAGAAGAGATAGGAGACATCATGGAAAACCTACTCCATAGCCTCCAACACGAGCTCCAGACCCAACCCTGTGAGGTCAACGGCAGTCATTCTCTGTCTGCCTAACCTCCATCTCCATCTAGGCATAGGCATTTAACTTTCTTCTGAGGAGAAGAAATGTAATTCCCACAGCAAGCGAGGAATCTGCCTATATTCTCTTAGAAGTGTTTCAGTCAATGCACACATTCATGTCTCAGCATTCTGAGTATGATGAGAAGACAGGACAAGAACAAATCTTGCTTTTAGGATGTTTATGTTATCAAAAGGGTCAGAGAAGAACAAAACTTTTCTAAGTAAAATGGCATTTGAAACAAAGAAGTCTTAAAAATTTGGTTTAATCAGTTGTTTTACTAAATCACTGGGGATTAGCCACCCCATTAGAAAAATACAGGCAGGCAGGAGTGTATGGAGGTGCATGCCTATACCCCAGCCCTGAAGACTAAGGCATATGGGTGCATGTTTGTGGATATCCTGGGTTACACAGCAAGATACTGTTTAGAAACAAGTATGTGAGCATACACAAATGACTATGAGCTCATGGAAAACATAGCTTTATCTATCGTCCACCTACCTACCTACCTACCTATCATCTATCTACCTATAATTGATCTATCAATCATTTATCCATCTATATCTATCTATCTATCTATCGATCGATCGATTTATCTATCTATTTATCTATCTACCTACCTACCTATCTGATAGGTATGGTACATCATGCTTGCAATCCCAGCACTTAGGAGGCTCACACAGTACTATCTTGAGTTTGAAGTTCATTTAGGCTACACTGTTAATTCTGTCTCTAAAAAGGAATATAGTGGTGTGTTGAGATGGTTCATTCTGAGAACAGTCCTTGGAACCCACATTGTAGGAGACAACCTTCACAAGTTGTACTCTGCTTCTGTATGTACCATACCTCACTCACAGACATAGTAAATAGATGTAACTCAATTGCTTAAAAAACAAGGAAAAGAGGTAATAGTATTCCTAAAATATTATGGCAAATCAAAAGCAAACAAAAATATGGACAAGAAAACAATCACTTAAGGAGAATATGAAAAGGGCTTTCAAACAATTATTTCTGGTTATTTTCAAATTACAGTAAATGAGATAAACCTTAAATAACATCTGGAATATAGTGAACATGCAACACATGTTATTTATTATAAATTTTTAAAACCGATGTTTTTTAAGATTGAGCAAAATCTCAAAGAATTCTCAGTCTACCTGTGGTGATGCTGATTTTTTTTTTGTAGTGTCAACTTATTTAAAAATCTATAACCATAAATGTAGTCAGTCCCCAAATTACCTCATTGAAACCACTGATGAAGGTTTTTTACAGGCAATCTATATACAGCTTTGACTCTTTAAGACAGATGGGATCTTGTTTCTTGTATTTAGCATAATGCATATGGTTCATGGTGTGTGTGTTTCAATTACTCATTCCTTTTTATGTTGGAGTAGTAGTCAGTGTGTGGATCTATCATAGTAACTTATCCATTTATCTCCATTTTCTTAACCTGTTGTTTTACATAATTACACTGGAATCTGATGAGACAGAACTACTATTTAATGACCGACCACCTACTATGTACCAGGTACTGTTCTGCACACTAGTGGTACAGTACCGAAGAAAGTTCCAGTTAGCACAGCTGCCACAACAAACAAAGTGTGAAGACACAACAGAAGGAAACGTACAACTCTCTGGTCATTTGTACATAGTCTTCCAAATGCAGACTATTGGTTATAATGGAACAATCTTTCTCAGACGATTTCAACTTTACCTCCCGTATGTATTCCTCTTGCTCTTCTTTCAGAGTAAGTTCGATGAAGATTTGTTGAAGCTTTTCATTACAATAATTAATAATAAACTGCTCGAAGCTGTTTTCCTATGTGGAAAAAAGAAATACACGTATAACCACTTCACCAGCTCTCCCTACAAATTCAACAATTCACTCCGTATGAAATAGCACACACCACCACTCTTTGGACTCGCCTGAAGCCCCACACAAGCTCCTAGGACAAACAATCCTTGCAAGCACTTGAGGAATGGCTTATGAGTCACTGAACAAACGAAATATGCACACATGTCACGGTATTTAATGATGAGGACTTTGAGTTGGTAGAGAAGTACCCCACACATTGTTCAAATTTCCCTTCAAGTTCAGTAAAGACACAGTGAGATCCATAATTGCTGTCAATGACTTCCAAATGTTCATTCTCAGGTCCTCCTACCTCACCTGTTCCCTCCAACACTCAACACACTGTTGTTATATGAGTGTGTGCACACATGTGTATATGTATTGACTAGTTTCACAGATGTAACCAATTGCACATTACTGACGGGGAAGGGCTACCATATCATCTCGCTTCCTATGACTCCTGTCATAATATACCCAACACATATGGCTCCAGTGAACGCACAAAGAGTAACCCTACTGAACAGAAGTCCATGGAAGTCAAAACGTCAATACCAGCCTTAGCCAGAGACAATCTCTCTCTTCTCAGAAGTCCACATCATACTCTCAGGTGCCCCATGCTTCTGCTTTAGAAGTTCTGCCTCATATTAATCATCTCTTATAAATTCTCTCATGGACACTCCACGATAAAAGCCATTTTTGAATAATCCATAGAGCTCAATGAACATACTGAAGGTACAAATATTATCTGTTGAAGGAATATGTGTTTCACTTAGAACCTTCCAGACAGATGTGGTGTCAAAACTTGTCTTCTTCACTTCTACCTCCCATCCTTGCCAAGAGGTACTGGCAATGGGCAAAAGGGGCACAACGACTCTACCTCTGGTAAACTTGACTCTACTCCACTGAGGTGGCCAAGCCTGCTCTAACAAGGAACCCACACACATGGGTAGAACTGAGGCGCTTCACTCCTTGTGGCGAAGCAGAGACTGGCCTTCACACCTCTCTACAAATGACAAAAGCAAAAAGTCACTGAGGTTTCTGGAAACTGATTTTTAAATTGACTTTGGTTCTCCCTTGGGCAGACCTGAACTCATCACAAAGCACCTGACTACATCCCTACCTGGTATCCAATTTGTCAGCAGTGATCATAGACTTCTAACTACGAACCACAAATGACACACAGGTTTACACTATCGCTGACTGGTCTCACTAATGCTACATTCAGAAGCATCAACGTTTTCCATAGTCCTGAAGGTTTTCACTAAAGAAGCAAACATGTATTTTCAATACTTCAACAAATGTAGTTTTAGGTGCAAGTGGCACACCCAGATGCCTTTTCACACAAATTCTTTAAAACCTCAGAGTTAACAATTTTGATTAGAAACTAAAGTCAGTCTTCAGATGTCTTCTCACTTTTGTAACCAGCATGAAGAAAAACATCAGATTTTTGTGGTTTGGTAAAGTATGTCCTTACATAATGCTATGATCACAGATAAAATACAATATTTGAGTACCTAATACAAGCAGACCTCTCAGACTGGAAAACAAACATACAGAGTAAGTCTCCTGTTTGTGAATCTGCGCTGATGAAGCAATTTCAACACAACGATGCTAAGTTTCAAGTGTCCACTGATGAGGGCAGGGGGAAGGAAATGACTGGTGTCCTTGGATACACTATGTGCTAGGTACACTTTCAAAACAAGACTATGAAATACACACAAACAAGTTAGAAGCCAACAGCAAAGCTTCATGATGACAATACAGCTTGTGGATTAAGTTCAAACTACATTATATTTGCCAACAATCTTTACAATTTCCTGCATTAGTTCTCTACTGCATATCCACACAATTAGTCAGCAACCATTTGCTACGAAACTCACAGAAACTGGAGAAGCTATTAGCACAGGCACATGCAACAGACCAGCACTGCAAACAGTTTATACTTACTGCATTCTGGTGCAGGGGGACAGACACAAAATGCAGTCAGTTCTGAATTAGCAATAGACTTTTCAAAGTAAGCACTTTCTCAGTTACTCACTGCTCTAAATGGCACCTGCACCACAGGCTGTAAGTCTAAGTGGTAGAAAACTTTGGATGAAGACAACACCCTAAAGGACAGTCTCTAAACTTTCATGTTGTATCCCAACTGTGCATCTGCTAAGGAAGGGCTCTTCACGATGAAATACTGGTAAGTCATAAAACTTGCCCATAGCCCTAGGGCTTCAGAGTCCAGGAGGGATGCTTAGTTCAGCTTAACATCAGCGTAAAGAAAATATACACGTATACCCAAGGTCTACATCTATCCACAGTCAGGGACAAAGGCATGTGGAAAATCACACAAGAGTGATGAGACCTTTCAAGGTCCAGAAGGACCTCCTGTCCGTGATCCACTTCTGTGCGCTGTATGGGATCATGCTGAACTCCTTCAAAGCCACTTAGGATGGCATGGAGACAGTGTCCACCTAGAGATGGTCTAAGAACAAAAGCTGAACTCTTCACTCTTATTCTAATGTTAAAAATCACCTCCCAAGCCCCCAACAAAGCTAGAATACCCAACCATCAATGCAGAAATAAACTTACTCCCCCACATTGAAATCAGCATCTACTGCAACTGTATTCTACATACTTCAAGACACATCACTGCCAGGGCAATAATTACCACCCAAACTGAAGGCTAATAATGTGCATACACATCTTGTGGTGTAAGTTTAAGTTGTTGACATTGTTAAATATGGGAAGAAATTCCTGGATATAATCAAAACTAACTTGGAAAATTTTAAGTAAAAGCCCACAGGGCAGGAACAAAGGAAAGAGAGGAGGGAGGGGGTCTGGTAAGAAAGCAATTCTAATGTGTACCATTCTAACACATTTCTCCATTTGTACAGGTTAAATTAATGGAAGGTTTTCAAATGTGGGTTGACTTCCTCTTTATAAAATGACCAAAGTAAATCTAGAAGTCGTCACAGACTCTGAATGCCTCCAGCAGACATGTGTTCAGATACTCTTTGACTGGCATGAACTGTGATTGGCCAGCGCCCCACAAGCCCATCTCATGAATCAAGTCTCCAGGGAAGGAGCTGTCTCCATGACTTAACCTCCTCCCTGGTTTTCTTTACCACTTTACCCACACTTATTCATAAAATCTGGGGGATAAAGTTGAAACATTCAGGAATGTATTCAAACAAGTACATTCAGGTTTTTACTGAATGATCCCCAGCAGTGAAGCTCAGAACATACTCTGCCCTGGACAGACAGCCGTGGGGACACGGGGAACAGGATGGTGCCAGGGTTCCTGCTACTTCGCAATGTGCTCCAAAGACACAGCGGGACAGAAAGCACCCACTATGTTTATAGGGGTAGAACAAACTAATGCTTTAAGCTCTAGAGCTTCTTAAAAAATCTTCTAGACTCTGAGTCGCAATGATCATGCTCCTAGCAGGTGTCAGGCCTACTTTCTGCTTGCCCAATTACCAACCATGATGGCTCCCCAGGCATGGTTCTGAGAGATGCTTATTTACATTCTCCCTCGAAACAGAGGCAGTGGAGGAAATCTTACACTTCCAAAGTCCACTACGTGTTTTTAAAAAGTTGCACTCTATAAATACCCCATACCCTATGTATTAAGGAAGGGAGATGGTATATTTTGCAGGTGAACATTATGTTCTGGAAACCAGGTAGTTGGAACAAAGACCATGATTTGTTCAAGCAAAAAGTGCCACCAATTATACAATACAAACTGTCAATGTTTTTTACAGGTCTGCCTTTCCATCTGAGGCCAAACATTTGGCATTTGGATGTAATGTATTAGATGGGTTTTCATATTTACATTCAGTGAAGGCATAACAACTGACATGGCTCACTGATGGATAAAGTCACAGCATTCATGCATTGTAGACATTCTGGGATGGAGACAGCATTGCTCTAAATGCATCCTACTGATGACATCCTTGTTGGAACGCCTCCCGAAGCCCCAATGGTGTTATAACACCATTGACAGAAGAGGGTAATGCACTTGGCCATTATCATTTTTAAAGTGACTGTGCCAATAAACAGGCTCCAAAGCAATAACTAATTTTTAAAGTAAACATCAGAAAAAGATTCCTCAAAACATATGAGAAAAACATTTAACACTAGCTATTCACCCTTCAAATATTTACAAAATTAAGTAACAAATTTCCCTTTAAATACATAACTTTTTTTTCCCTAGGTAGATATCAAATATGGTAAACAATGTTATTTTCAGTTTCTTAAAGATTTTTTAACTAAGCTGTAATTTTTAAAAACTAATATGGTGGGACTTTTTAAAAACCCACCATATTCACAAATAATCCAGTCACCCTTTCCATTTTTAAACCCACTCATCTTCTTCCTCAATTATAGGTTCTCCGGCACGGTGGGACACTAGCACAGAAGGTATTGGCAACATCCAGAATTGATTAGAAACCATAACCACAAGACGCACTCACCACATTGCCCAACTCCTGAGCATGTCAGCCCGTATCAGCTGGAGCCACTGTTACACGTGACCTATTGTGTTTTTACTACACATTATCGAGGAAGGAGATGTACAATTAGATCAGGGAGCCCTCTGCCTGGATGAGAGCATTTCCCCTGCACAGGATGTGAAATTACCAGCCAGTGTTGCCTCCATGTTCTCATGAGTGTTAATGTTTAATACCTTTCCCAGTAAACTAACTGCCAGCTTTAATAACTATCAGATAAGCCCTAAGGAAAATTTCACATTGCTCAACTTACTTTTGAATGCAATATAATTTTTTAAAGTAATAGCACTTATCCCTCCCAGCCCACCTCAAACCCCCCCCCTTTATTTTACTTCTTTGAGAATTTTGTACAAGGCATTTTGGTCATATTCACCCCCTCCTCCCTGGTCAGCCCACTTATTCCTTAATGGACAAATTATAAAAATGTCTCAGAAACAGTTAAAACAATGTCCAAACTTAAACTGCAGACACATCTCCTTCCTTTGGAAAGTGGATTTCCCATTCTACCAGGATGTAGAGCTACAATGTTTTCCTCCAGGAATTGTAATTTACCTTTCTTTATCCATGTTCCCTTAGCCTGTTTTCCCAACTGACACCAGCTGACATGTAGCCAGCAAGGCAAACTTTGTGGGCAAATCCATGTGTCATCATCCCAAGGCTTAATGCTCCCATTTCCCCCCTCCATTTGAGAGGAACCAAAGAGATTAAAGGCTTCCACCAGCTCAGCTGAAAAGCGCTCCCATGGCGACTGGCAGTGGAGTCACTGGGCAGAACTGGAAAATTGAGGAAACAAATGTTCTGGACCTTACTGTCTCCTTTCAAAGTGAGACCCACAGTGCTCTAAAAGCAGAATGCTATTTCCTGTGGTCAACTTTAACAGAAGAACCAAGGCAGAGTTCTATTTATATTCCGTAATTTTTACCTGTGTGGAGAATATAGAAGCACTCATCTTTGCACGGATCTGGGTTCTGACTACCCCATTCAACCCGGCTCCTCCTCCTACAGCTTGTGGTACTCCAAAAATTCTTAATTAGCCGGGCTTTCTGTGGTCAATACTGACATTTCCATATGTTATATTGTTGAGAATCCAAGAAAGCACAGGTTACTATCTGGGATAGATACGTGAATAATTTATTTAAAGAAAAAAAAAAGAACTTTTGCAAATTTGAATAAAAAAAGTAGATAAAAGTATCTAAAATTGGCCGGGCGATGGTGGCACATGCCTTTAATCCCAGCACTCGGGAGGCAGAGACAGGTGGATCTCTGTGAGTTCGAGGCCAGCCTGGTCTCCAGAGCGAGTGCCAGGATAGGCTCCAAAGCTACACTGAGAAACTCTGTCTCGGAAAAAAAAAAAAAAAAAAACCAACCCCCCCCAAAGAGTATCTAAAATTATCCAGCCAACATTTCATTCTAAATGCTTCCAAATGAATGTTTATAAAATAAAAAAACAAGTTATTAAAAACAAGATGGCTGGAAATTAGACTGAAAAGGAAAATGGAGAGAACCATTAATTACAATGTAAACTTATTCACCCTCTCTCAAGGAACTAAGAATGGGAATAGAAAACAAAGCAAATTGGCACAGTGGGACACACCTATAATCCTAACAACTGGGAGACAGAGGCAGGTAGAACTCTGAAAATTAAGGCTAGCCTGGTCTACAGAGCCAGTTCCAGGCCAGCCAGGGATAAAAATCAGGTCATCAGTTCTTGGCAGCAAGCAGCTGAGCCATCTTGCCAGCCTGTTGTTTAAATGCCTTCATCTACTCTATGGCTATTAATTAAAGGGGTCTTTTATATAAGGCCGTATTTTAAAAATTGTACATATCACTGTCCTCTTGGTTGTATGAAGTTTTTTTTTGAGTTAATTAATTTTAAAAGCATCAGTTTCATGAGAAAGAAAAATGAACTCAATGATTTTATATTGCGATGGTGAGTTTTGATTGTCAGCTCCACACAGTGTAGACTCACATGGGAAGGGACATTCAATAAGGGCTTGTTTATGTTAGGTTGTCCTGTCTGTGGAAGATACCATGATCATGGTAATCAAGGTGGGAGGGCCTGTCCACTTTCTCATGGTGATGGGTTATAATCTTGAACTGTTATCCAAATAAACCTTTTCTCTCTTTAGTTGCTTTTGTCAGGGTATTTCATCACAGCAACAGGAAGCTAGTTACATCTTAGGACATTCTAAAGGACAAACTAACTGGACGTCTCAACATAACCCCATTATCCTGTCAAAATAGTTTCAACTGGGTGTGGTGGCATATGCTGGTAATCCTACCACATAGGAAGTAGAGGCAGGAGGATTGCCATGAAAGGCTGTGTGTGGCATGCCACTAAGAGCGTATCTACTGTCTTATGAGCAATAAATTGTTCTCTGGCAAAATTAACGTAAACACACTTTTAATTTTGGGAGCATCATTAACTATATTTTTTCTTCTAATTTTCTATTAAAATCTAGGTTTACCACTCAGCCAATTCATGAAACTATTTAAATTTAGATCAACGCTATACCAGTTAAGATATCTCTCCTCCTGACAATGGTAAAGAATGCCTTTAACATCTGCCTATTTAGTGACAGTAATCTGAGATCGCATTAAGTGAAATTATTTTAAATACAGTGATTTCAGAATATATAAGAATTCTCCTAAAGCAAACCCCGAGTTCTTCTTTTTCCAAGAGACCTGCAGCTTCCTTTGTAGATTTAGCCTAAAAGGTAAACAGCAAACAAAAACTGTGCTAGCGGCTGGAATTCCAGAAAAGGGGAGGGGCAGCACGCACACTTCCACCTAGGAAGGATCCCCAGAATGTCCAGAAACTGGGAATGATGGCCAGATCAGGGAACAGGGAACTGGAGGCTCATTAACAACATCTGGGTTTCCCCACATTTCCAAATATTGTGAAACCCATGGGTTTGGAGAGGAAAGTAAGGAATTCACCTTGATTGTAACTCTACTAAGAAAGAAGAGCAATGAAGACACTATCAGGAAGCCAGGGATTTCGACCTACGTCTGCTATTTAGTTACCTGAGCTTCAGGGTCTTTCTCATCTGTGAAATGGGAATAACAGCTACTTTCATGAAGCTGTTCAGAAGATTAAATCTGATAACATGCAATGCAGCCACAACAGTGCTTTCATCTAGCCCTTGGCAAGTTCAATGGAGGAAGAGTGGATCACTATAGACAGGGCTGTTATCAGAATGCCCGAGGACTGTCTGGTTAGTGCCCAAGAATGCATCTTCACCTTTCCTGTGATCCTGCAATCTTAATTTTTTGGAGTATGTCCATTCTTTGGGAGGCCATTCTAGGCAGGGCTTGGCTAATTAGTGTTCACAAATCATTACTGTGGGTGAGAATTAAGGATGCAGATGGTGAATAAACTCATTTCCTTAAAGCAAACTAGAACACTACTCCAAACTGCTGCTGAAAGTCAAACGCAGGAAACTATATAAATGTATACTACTTAACAGTGTGATTTGGAGCAAGCAAGCACATTCTTCTGCTGCAGTGTTTACTGCGGTAAGATCCCAGTGGGGTGTGGCCTGGAGCAGACGGAAGTAGGCATCTAATTGAAACTCTGACCCGAGACTCAGAGCTATTTAGGCCATGACAGCATCTGGCTTCCCCATTCCTGAATCTTTAGGCTTCATTTTTCAAACAACCGATAAATGGCTGGATGGCCACAGACATCGGTGCCCAAGTAATATGGCAGACACACCACTGAGCAAAAATTTCAAAACTGACTTTGATAGAGTCTCCAAATGATGTCTCTGTATTTACACACATACACCATGTGAACTCATGCCTGCTCTCTCTCTCTCTCTCTCTCTCTCTCTCTCTCTCTCTCTCTCTGTCTCTCTCTCTCTCTCACACACACATACACACACACGTGACTATACTTAAACAGCTTACTTGTAGATTCAAAGTATAGTTAGTTACCAAGTTATACATAAATAAAATACAGTTATTTACATATTGCCCAAACAATGTGACTTCATTACTAATTGTTCTACTTTAATAATGGCACTACTAATCCTTTTTTTTTTTAAAAAATCTTACCTCAAATATTTCAAAGCCATAAATGTCCAGAACACCCATGACCTTCTTTCTCACTTTGGTTTGTGCCTTTAAAAGAATTTTCATGTTAATAAGTTAATGCAGGCATAATATAACACTGTGAACAACCAAGAAGCACAGACTTACACGTTTGTCTTGAACCAGAACAATTATTTCAGTTGTTCTGTTAAAACTTAGGTAAGGGAACTGGTGTGGAATCTTCCAGAAACTTAGCAATAATGACACAGTCACCAAAGGCAGTGTTTCATTGCTAAACAGACATCATTGGCTGACAAGCAAATCTTTCAGTCGCCTTGGCCAATACCCTCATTTTAATGAAGAACTATTAGTACCAAAAAGAAAAAGGCATCTTTTCAACAAAATGCATGCAGCTACTCAGAAAGCCACTGGCAGCTCTGAGAAGACCATCAGACTAGTCTGGTAACCAGTGAGACCCAGAGCACATAGCAAAGCAAGAGAAACAAAACCCTGGCAAATGCCGACTTGTGCAATATAGAACTGTCTTAAGGAACCACCCTTTGACTGTGGAACTAAGCTTCTTTAATTTAATGTTTACACTATGAATACCATTCGTTTCTTACAAACAGAGTCTTAAAGAGTCAGTACCTTAATGCTTTCATTGATGCGATTTACCAACCATGAAAACAGCCTGCTGTAGAGGTTTTTGGCCAGGGCATCACGGGCATAATAAGCCTATCAAGAAGAAAAAGAACAATTTAACACTAACAGCTGCCACAATGCTTACTTTCTATAAAAACAATGAAAATACTTTTAAGATATTTAAGCAACGTTTTTCAAATTTCTCTTTGGGGCAATTTTTATTATACACTGGATGAGTGGTCAAACTTTAAGAGAATCAAGCAAACTTTTCAACCAGCCTACACTTTTGCATCCCAGGAAATTAATTCCAAATATTACAGCAGTTTTTTCCAGTGTTACAGAACAAAGAAAAACCAGGAGTGCATACCAAGAATAGGGAAATAAACACTCACAAAAGAGATGCATTACACCGTTATTATAGAAGAACACTATGAAATTAAGCAAATAAACACTACGTTGTGAGAAAGAAATTAAATAACTTGTAGCCTTAATGCAGTAACCCCCCGCCAACCCTGACACACAAAGGACAGGAAACAAAATAGCTCAGAATACAGCAATCAATACCCCTCCCTTTTCAGTTACAAACCCAATTCTTTAAGTGAAGCTATAAAAAGAGGAAGGAAAGTGTTGGGTGGTGGTGGTGAATGCCTTTAATCCCAGCACTTCGGAGGAAGAGGCAGGTGGATCTCTCAGTTCGAGGCCAGCCTGATCTAAAGAGTGAGTTCCAGGACAGCCAAGGGTGTTACACAGAGAAACCCTGTCTTGAAAAAACAAACAAACAAAAAAGGAAGTATAATTAATAAAATAACTAGGGAGAATATTTAGATTATTTCAAAAGATTAAAAGAAGAGAAGGGTGCTTTATAAAGACCTATGGACATACAAAATCCCTAAAAACTAGGGCCAGTGTGCTGGCTTGGGTGAGAAAGTCCTATGCCACCAGGCCCAACAGCCTGTGTTTAATCCCCAGGGTCCACATGAGAAGCAAGAAGGCCATCCCTCTACACTGTAAGTGAGCCATCCCTCTATCCTCCGACTCACACTTGCAGTGCCGGCCCATGGCACACATTCTCCCCACCTCATATTAGTAAAGTTCAAACATTGTTGATAATGGAAGTCAGCACACTCTCACTTTATAAAGAGCACACCTCATTAGGCTGTGGGATATTTGTTACTTTTCTTTTTCTCTCTTTTCTTTTTTTAGAGAAAGTGTAGCAATATTCACACTCAATTCCCTGGTGAGAAGACAGCACCTCCCTCACACCACTAGACACTTTCCAGTTAATGCTAAACCCTTTCCCACGTGTCTCAGTGAGCATGGAAGTCAGGAGGAGGGAATAAACCTAGAAGAGCTGCTAGAAATTGGAGAGACAGAGGGAAGGAGGGCAGGGAGAAGGAATGAATAGGGGAAGAAGGGAGGAAAAGAGAAGAAAGGGGAGGAAGAGAAGGAGGAAAGAGGAAAGGGAGGGGAAGAAGGGGAAGAAAGGGAAGAGGAAGGGAAAGGGAGGGAAGGGAAAGGAAGGGGAGGGAAGGGAAAGGAAGGGAAGGGGAGGGGAGGGGAGGGGAGGGGAGAGGAAGAAGGGGAAAAGGTGGAAGGGGAGGGAAGGGAAAGGAAGGGAAGGGGAGGGGAGGGGAGGGGAGAGGAAGAAGGGGAAAAGGGTGATTGATCATAGTGAGATTCCACAGTAGAAATCCATGTCACTAAAACAGAGTATGCAGCCAAAAGAGAATTTAGATGCCCATCTCCCTTATCTAACACCCTTTCTGTGGGGTTTCCCTCTCCTAAAATAGGTGACTCAAGTGCCCCGGAAGTGTGGGGAGTCTGTACACAGCTGCATTAGGACGTCTGAGGTATGCATTCCTATAACTCGTGTCCATTACTGTCATTTCTTAATCCTTTCCCTTTTCCTCTTGTGAATCCAAGTCATCTCTAAATACCTGACCTGCAAATAATCCTTCTTAAAGTCACCCAGCTGCCCACCCTCTGACCCTAACAAAGCACGCCTGTGACATGCAACAGAACTGGGTGACAGCATGTTCCAGAGCGCTGCTTTGTAGTTCTTAAGGTAAGGGACTGGGTGACAACACGGTCCAGAGCAGTGTTTTTAAAGTTAAGGCAAAGTCACAGCCAGATTCCCCTTCTTTGCAGTTTTCAAACAAAAGCTCTGTTTCAGAAGTCGCAAATTCAAATGCTTTTAGATGTGACAGAAATGAATGGGGTGGGGGTGGGGGGTTGTCCTGTAAGGGCCAGAGGACGGAGTCTATGTTAAAGGGCAAACTATCCAGTGTTCAAATAAAAATCAGCTTCAGAAGCTGTACCTGAGCCACAGCCTGCCATCCTTGCTGTTCGGAAGCCAGGACTTCTGGAACTGAATCAAGCCACGTGCTCTCTACTCTAGTGACCTAGGAAGCGGAGGGGGCAGGAACACTGGTTCCCACCGGAAGGATCACTACTGTGGTATGGAAATGAGGGGAAGCACCAAGGGGGATGATTCACCACCTTAGATTCTTAAGCACACTGTGAAAACGCTATGCTGTTGCAGTCGCCCGATGCTCACAAAGGAAAACCCCTGCTAGAATCTACTTCTGATTTGGAGAATATCAAGCATGGCCAGGGATGGGGAGTGCTAACCAAGCAAGGTGGGACACAGATGTGGGGAGCCAGCAATAGGTCAGAGATCACATTAACACAGAGAGACCTCA